GTCCCTGGTGCAGCGCCGAGGCGGCCACACGTGGCCTCGGCTTGAAGGCACTGGTGCGGCTCACCTGGCGACAGGAAGTCATGTTCCCATTCGTTGTGATGCAGCCTCTCTGACGGCCACTCAGACGTTCCGGGTCCGCGCACACACTTCCTCCCAGCGGCACAGCCACCGAGCAGCTCGGCATCCTGTGGCCTTTCACCTGGACTCGTGGAGGCGTCAGGCGTGCTTGCTGTGTCCGTGGGCTCACCCGCCTGCACAGAGGACAGCCCGCGCGGCCTAGAAGGTTCCAGAAGCCGCCAACCAGAGTGTGAAGCCGCCTCTTCCGGGGGATGCCCCCCAGGACCTGCGCCAGCAAGTCTGTTCACCCGGCGTCTTCACGGCCTTGACTTGTCATCGCAGAGGGCAGCCCTCGGCCACTGTCACCGGCTCCTGGTCCTGCGCTGAGGCCACAAAGGAGACCGGCCTCCCCTTCTCCCAACTGCAGCAGCTCCAGCTCCGCTGCCTGGTCCCTCCGCCCATCCCGCACCCTGGCATCTCTGCAGCTTGTGGGCGAGGCCCTGCGGGTGCCGCTCCCAGTTCTGGCGACAGCAGGATCCACAACAGTGACTGCCAGGCCGGTCCTTCCTCCCACCCTGCTCCCCGGGTCCCTGCGACCTTCCCCGGCGGGGGTGCAGCTGCGCAAGTCATGCCAGGGAGATGCGTGTGCGGCCGCCCAGGGAGCCCCGAGCGCACCCCCATTGGACGGGGCCCTTGCTTTGCACTTCAGGGCCCAGGACGGCTCAGCTGGAGCTGCTGCGCTGCTTACGAAGGCAAGGGCGGCCAGGACTGTGGAGGGTCCGGGACCCGGCAGAGCCCGAGGCACAGGCCCCTTATTTGCTGTGAGACGGGAGGGAACTGTCGGCCCGGCCACTGGTGTCCCAGAGCCACCGCAACTCAGCTACCTCAACAGAGAGTCCGCAGGCGCTGGCTCAGCGAAGGTGCTCGAACCCCTCCGGCCCGACCTGCTGATGAGGGCTCGAGGCTGCAGGCCCGCCCCGCCCCCACCACACGCAGAAACGGCAGGATAAGTGACTTTTAAAGGAGCTTCTGTTGTTTAAAGGGAGCATCAAAGATGCGTGTGCAGAGGCTGCTGTGGGCGTAGTGAGGCTGAGAGGGGGCGAGACAGGGCTGGAGCAGTAGGAAGGCCAGGCCCGTGACACCCACGCGAGGCCGCCGCAGCACCAACTGCCGCAGCCATGCACAAGCCAGGCTGGGGCTCCTGCTCGGGCTCTGAAAGAGATGCCTCCCCCGGGTCTGCCCTGGCTCCCCCTGCGCCTCTCTGCCTGGCTCCAGGCGCCTCCCGCCTCCCGCCTCCCGCCCGCTTTGCAAACCAGTGACACGGGCACAGGGGCCGCAGTGGTGGAGGTGCAGCGGCGTTTGGCCTTTCCCCGTGGTCCTGCTTCGGGAGTGTCTCAGGAACGCCGTCTAAATGCGGGTCCACTGTTTCAACCAGCCAGGCCAGCACGCCCGGCTGACACAGACTCGACCAGTGGCCTGGCCTGCGGTCGGGGGCTTCCGGGAACCAGGGAAGCAGCCCCCTCCAAGTACCTCTCCTCCCGCGTGGCCTTTCACGACGCAGACGCCACCAGGAAGACAAGTGCTGGCAGCTCCCCTGGGGGGCTGCCTCAGGAGTTAGCGATTCCGCTCGGGCCTGCGTGTCCACTGGCTGCGGATGGCGCCTGCAGCGGGAGGCTCCAGGACAGGCGCGGGTGTGCTGGGAGCAGGTGCAGGTGTGACAAGCAGCGTGGACTCGCGCCTGCAGGGCCGGCCGCGCCTCCTGACCGCGGGCTCCAAGGCGTGGAGTTGGCGCTTCCCTCCAAGTCCAGGGGCGTCTCCCGGCGGGTCCTCCTGCCCAGAGAGCGAAGATCAGGCTCCCAAGGTCGAGGTCCATGGTCTGCTGAGACGTACATACATCTTTAGGTGCCATTTTAATCCACTTCAAGACAATGGTCACTGGCCCCCACCTGTGGAGCAGGAGCAGGAGACAAAGGCCATGCATTTGGTCTGGGTCGGGCGTTGTATTGCCCCGGGACAGTGATGGCGAACCTGTGACACGCGGGTCAGAGGTGACACGTGAACTCATTTTTTTGGTTGATTTTTCTGTGTTAAATGGCATTTAAATATATAAAATAAATATCAAAAATATAAGTCTTTGTTTTACTATGGTTGCAAAGATCAAAAAATGTCTATATGTGACACGGCACCAGAGTGAAGTTAGGGTTTTTCAAAACGCTGACACGCCGAGCTCAGAAGGTTCGCCATCACTGCCCTGGGAGCTGTACTCTAACAACTAAAGTGTGATACTGGGCGCTAAACGATGCCTCCTTGGTCTAGTTTTAATAATTCCGTAATGCTTGCCGTGACGCTACTTTTGTGGAATGCAGCCATTTCTTAAACTTTACTTCGGTAGAGCGGGCCACAGGCACATTAAAAAGTAAAAACAAAAGAAAGTGGCCCCTGAGAGCAGGAGGGAGGCCGCCCAGGCCCCTCCGTGCTGCTCCCCCCGCACGGGCGCCTTCTCCCATCCGGCGGGGTCGCCCCTGGCCACGTGCTTCTCAAAATTTCAACAGGAGACACAAGAAATATCACCGCTTCCTCCCCCCAACGCCCCAGGCGAGGGGGTGGCACGCCAAGTGACGGGCCCAGCGGGAATGCAGCCGCGTCCTGTGGGAATCTTGGCAACGGCACCCCTGGGCAAGGGCACACGGTGACTGAAGCAACGTGACATCAGGGACTTCGGTGGCCTCGGTTGTGAAATGCATCGCCTGCAAAAACACCGAAGCAACATCGTTTCTCTCAGCAGGGACAGCACATTCAGTCCTGGGTTTGGTCTTTCTCTCTCTCTCTCTCTCTCTCTCTCTCTCTCTCTCTCACTTAAAATAGGTTCGCTATTTGAGTCAAATGTGAGAAGACTCCATGTTTTCCTCCAGAGCAGGGAACACCCCGGCCTCCTCGGCACCCGTTGCCCTACCCCCGATCACAATGCACTAGTGTCCCACCTCCCGGGACAGGAGCCGGGGAGCGGCCTCGACTCCCCTGAAGACAAGGGACTGGCCCATCCTCTCCAGTGAAACCACTCACTGCGGGAATGTCTTCTCGTTTCAAAAGCACAGTCGGTCGGGCCTCTTTCCAGGCCCAAAGGAGAATGTGCCTCAGGAGCCATGGTGGCCACGCACTCGCTCAGTCCGACAGCAGTATCTGTGGTCACGCATCACTGCCTTTTCTACACTGTTCGGTGAAAAGAACCATGTGACTAGCTGTATCTTCAATACTGTGATTTGAATTTTTTTTAAATCCTAATATAAATATTTTACTAACTTACAATCATGTGTCTAATAAGAAACGTCTGGGTTTTTTGGAATCAGTGTTAATGGACGTATCCTCTTCCTGGCGTGGCTTGGGGGCGGAGCTGAAGCGGCAGGACCCAGGCAGACCCGCACGCACACACGCCCCGAGCCACAGAGTTTATGTATGTCGCGTGAGTCTGTCCCCTGCGCACAGCGCGGCCGCCCTAGCCCCGGGCGAGGCGCCACCCATTGCACAGCAGTGTCTCTCCAGGCCAGGCCTCCACAGGGAACTCGGGCTGTGGGTTTTTACCAAAGAACTGCGCCCTCTCCCGTGTCCTGGTGGAACACGGGCACCGGCTGGTTGCCTGGCAGCCTCAGGCGGCCCAACCCGAAGCAGAAAGCAGGAACCGCGGGCCAGGAGTCCTGTCCCCCCGCCACGCTGTTCCCAGATCTTAGCGAAGTTCCCCCTGGGGGTGCACCTGTCCCGCCCGGGGCCCGGGTCCAAGTCAGGCCACGCAGATCTCCACAGGCCTGAGCTTCGTCCCCTGGCGCGGACTGTCACCACCGTTCCTGGGTGCCTTGTACTCTAAGCCTTTGGGGGCTGCTGGACCCTGGTTTCTGTGCTGCACGGAGACGCTCCCACACAGACCCTCCCAGCGGGCACCACGTCCACCCCAGGCGCTCGCTCTCCTGTCTGGGTGGGTCCAGGGCCCCGCACAGCAGGGTGCGGGGAGCAGCAAAGGGTACAGGGCATCCTGCTCATCGCGTCCCCTGATCGTGGTGCCAGGCAATTAGGAAACGGCTATAAAATAACTAACTTTTCAAAATCTTGGGTCCTATTCACTTTCCCATTAGGAAACTGAACTGGTCATATATATTGATTTATATCCTGACTGTGGTAACTTACATAATTGGAATGTCCTACTGTAAGACTGATGAATGTAAAGAGTTAATTTCAGGGTACCATTTGCCTTAATGGTTTTAAAAATAAACTATTTTTAAAAATTATGTGTTGCATTTGAGTGATGCTGTGGGACGCAGCGCTGGGTTTGAAGCCAAACCCCAGGCAGTGGGTGGGCCCTCCGCCGGCACGTCCCCCACCGCGTGCCGCTTGCTCAGGGTGCGCCCCAACAGCGTGGCCCTGAACAGGGTGTCCATTTGTGTAAAATGACATGAAGCAGGGAAAGCTTTCTAGGTGTTGGCATCTGAGAATAAACCCGGCACATGGATAGATGGAAACGGCTCTTTATTCACATTTCTCACTCAGGGCTGGGACGGTGGCCACGCAGCAACTGTAAGATGACGCAGGACAGCACCCGCCGCCAGGAACCAGCAGACAGGAGGTGAGCTCCCACGCGCAATGCTGAGGCTGTGGGGTTGGCCTCCGCAGGCCCGAGGCTGAGTTCGCTGGGGAGAGGGGCAGGCAAGCAACAGAAGGCTCCGAGGCAAGGGCGTGAGGGGAGGGAGCCGGGGGCCAGGGGCTGGAACCAGAGCCAGAGGGAGCACACGCTCCCCCCGCCCACTGCGGGAGCCAGAGGTCCGCACATGGGGACAGCCCCACGGCAGCGGCCTTTGCCCCGCACGGCTGTGTTCAGGGCCCAGCAGAGCAGCGTGGCGCGTGGAGACAACCCCTGGATCTGACCCCTCGTGGGAAGGACGCAGGGCCCTCCAGCCCAGCCGTGTGGAGCAGGACACAGCCGGGAGGACCTGCAGAGGGTGGGGCCCCAGCCCCTTGAGAGCCTGGGCGCCCCTTGGCTCCTGCCCGCACTCAGCACTGAGCGAGCTCTGGAGTCGGGGCGGGGTTCCCAGGTGCCTCCTCTGTGCGGCTCCAGAACAAGGCCACACGGTGGCTCCCAGCTCAGCCCCTGACCCGGGTCTCCGACGCCGGCTCAGGCCTGCGAGCTGGGCTGGTCGGCCGGCCTCTTCGCGGGGCCTTTCCTTTTCTCCAGGTCCTGCCGGATCTCCTGGGGGAAGGCCTGGAGGTTCTTCTGGACACAAGGGAGGCAGAACCTCTTGGAGTAGAACAGACTGCATTCCTGGAGGAGGAGGGCAGGCTGAGGACGGGCACAGGCACAGGTGGGCAGGGGCTGGGCGGGCCCCAGGACGCACGGGCAGCTGAGAGGAGGTGGGGAGGGTGCAGCGGAGCCAGAAGAGCAAGAGGGAGACCGTGGCCCAGGGGCCTGGCCAGCCGCCTGAGAGAAAAAGAAATGGGGGCGGGGGTGCGTGCCAGGGGCAGCCCTGCAGGCACGGGTGTCCGGGGCTTTCAACACTTGGCGAGGCCTCATTGCAGGGGCCTTTGTGCCTCTGAGGGGCTGGGAGGTGACCACCCCCAGGCAGGACGCTCAGGGCCCCCTCGGGGCAGGATCACTCGGATTACAGGGCCGCACTCAGCTGCACCAACCCACTGCGCTGTTCGTGGGTTCTCAAACACTAGGCTCAGCCGTGCTGGGCACTGGGCCCGCAGCCTCTGGGACCTTGGCTTCCTCAGCTGCCAAATGGGTGCAGTCCTGCCTCACCTGGCTGGGTTTGGGGGGAGGGGACTGAAGGACGCCCAGGGTTAAGGCAGCTCCAAGCACAGGGCCTGGCACACAAATGCTCGGGAGAGCACGGTCCCTTGCTCTGCGGGTCCCCAAGGACAGCCAGAGAGACGGTCAGCACCCGTGGTGAGGGGCCTGTGAGGGCCACTGGGGTGGTGCAGAACCTCCCAAAATCTACTTGGACCCCTCGGACCCCACAGAGACCCTGGCTGACCCAGGGTGCCCTCTGCACGTCTTCCGCCCTAAGATGGCGGAGGGACCACCCAAAATGAGGTAGACCAGCTGGCCTCTAAGAACCCCCCAGGCCACCTGGTGACTGAGGGTCCGGGGACCCCATGGAGAGGAAAACTGGTGCTCACACCGCCCTTGGGAAAGGCTCACGTGCTACCTCTCCCACAGTCACGCGTGTGGGGTCCCAGCCCGGGAGCGGGGGGCGTGAGGGTGGAAGCGAGGCAGTCGTGTGGCTTACCCACCGGGCCCACACACACCAGCCGGCCACAGACACTGCACCTGGAGCCCAGGATGAGGAACCTGTCCTTGTCCGGGGTGAAGGGGTCCTTCATGACGTAGCTCTCCTCCAAGAGGCTGTGGGACAGGAAGTGATGCCGCTGGAACCTCTGCTGCTGGGAGCTCAGTGGGGGTGGGGCTGGCCCCTGCTCTGGGCTCTGAAACCACCGCAGCGGGGCCACCACTCCTCAGCCCACAGAGGGGCCCTGACCTGACTCACAGGATGGGGCCGGGCCCCGAGGCCTCCATCCACGCCCTCTAAGCCCTCCCCTCACCGAGAGGGTGATGCCCATTCCCAAACTGCCTGCCTCCCCGCGGGGAAAACAGGTGCATCGCACCTGTGTCGGGTGCTGGCCTCACACCGCACACCGGAGGGAGACCCACAGGGTTCCGAGAGACACCCCTGTCCCGTCAGCAGAGGAACCCCGCCAGCAGGAAGGAGCTTTGCCCTGCCACTTGCCCTACGTGAGTAACTACTGGTCCGCTTCCCCATCATGTGGCATTTGGTGAAGGACAACTTGAAGGTCAGGAATCAAGCGCTGGGACCCACTCCAGGCCTTCCCCGGGCAGATCACAGCAAGCTGGTCCTCAGGACTCACTCCCACCGGGGCACGAGCCAGTGCGCACTCCTGGGCCCCTGGGCATGGATACTCACATGACAGACTGGGTGTCGGGGGGCTTCTGCCCCACATAGCTGTATGGAGCTGCCAAGGCACAGAGCTGGCACTCAAACACACCCAGGGGACGGTGCTCTGCCTCACACGCCATCTGCAAGATCAAGATGCAGGGCCCGCCACCTTCAGAACCAAACCCTACCCATCTCTCGAAGCCCTGGCTGCATGCTCTAACGGAGAAGACGAAGGGAGCCCCTTAGACCAGGAGCCTCAAGGTCAAAGTCCAAGACCTCCACAAGGTCACACATTGTTTTCAAGTGCACGTGAGACACTTACCAAGAGAGATTCTATGCCGTGCCACAAAATAGGCCTCAGACAATAAAAAATACTTGGAATTGCAGAGTACGTTCTCCAATCCCAAAACAATTAAATTAAAATCATAACAAAAAGATACTCTAAAAACCTCCAAATACCTGGAAGTTAAACAATATAATTCTAACTAAATCATAGTTCAAAGAGGGAAATTAGAAGATATTTTCACTAAACGAAAACTGAAATACAGCATATCAAGATACACAGCTGAGACAGTGCCTGCCGGGAAATTCACTGGCTTTAATATTTAAAATGGGGAAGGTTTAAAACTAACCATCTAAGTTTCTACTTTAAGAAGCTAGAAAAAAAATTGAACCCAACATAAATCAAAGAAGAAAATAATAAAGGACAGAAATCAAACATATAGAAAGTGATAAACAATGGGGGCGGGGGCGGGGGAGGGGGATCAGTACAACCAAGACTGGTTATTTCAAAACATCAATAAAGTTGATAACTTCTAACTAGACTGAGCAAGAAAATGAGAAGATGCAAAATACCACAATTGGGAATGAGAGAGGGGACATCACTAGAACTACAGACATTAAAAGGAAAATAAGGGGATATTGTGAACAACTTTTTACCAAATAAATGTGACAATTTAGCTGACATGGACAGATTTCTTGGAAAAAAGAAACCTACCAATTATCAAAAGTGACTCAAATAGAAACAGAAAACCTGAATAGCTCTATGTCTATTCAGAAATTTCATAATATAAATTTTTCCTAAAAACTGAAATAACCTCCCCCCCCACACACACACAAAAAATATCATGCCAAAATGGCTTAACCTCAAATTGTTAAACATTTAAAGGAGAAGCAGTACCAACATATAGAAATTATTTCAGAATGCAAAGAGAGAAACACTTGCTCAGTGACTTTATGAGGCCAGTACACCAAAACTGCCAGGATTGCCTTGATACCGTTAACCAGACAAAGCAATTACCCAAAAACTACAGACCAACATCCTTCATGAACCCAGATACAAAAATGTTTAGCAACGTATTAGCAAACTGAATTCAATAACAACATAGAGGAAGCCGAATGCATCATGCCTGAGTGGATTCAATTCCACTAGACTCAAGGAATGCAAGGTTGGTTTAACACTCAGAAGCCAACGAATGGAACTTTTCATAGTAACAGAAAAAAAGCCAGTACTCATCATTTCCAAAGATGTATAAAAAGCAGTATATATCATTTCAACAGATGTGTAAAAAGCATGACAAAACTCAGCAGGATTTTACAAAATTCAAGGCTCTGAGTGGCGCATCCAACCCAAGGGGCCCCCGTACTGACTACAGAACAACTCCCTTCCTTGACAGTGGAGACCCTGTCAGACGGGGGTTATCTTTTCCCCTCACGACCCCTCACACACCAGGCTCACGTACTAACCTTCATCGGCCTCTGCTCTTGCTGTTCCCTCCACCAGGACGGCTCCCCCACATCTGCCTATGGAGTTTCCCTCTGGCCGCCTTGGAGATGTTTTGTCTTTGGCTTTCAGCAGTTTTGGGAAAAAACAAAAGAAAGAATAACTATATATCCCAGGTCATGGTACATGCCTGTGTTTCAGGCTCAATCCCCAGTAGAGGGCGTGCAATAGGCAGCTAATTAATTCTTCTTTCTCCCTTTCTCTCTGAAAATCAATAAAAATATATATATATATATATAATTTTTTTCTTTTAAAGTTTTTTATCCCGCTTGTACTTTGAAGTCTTTGGCCTGTGCTTTGGTAACTTCCATTATTTTGGGAAAGTCTTAACCGTGATAGCCCTGTTCTTTCTCCCTCTTCTTCTGTTGGGGTTCCAAGTGCCATTGTAAGGCGTCCCCCCAAAATGTACACACACACTTTGAAGAATTATAAAGGCAGTGTTTACTAAAATGCATTTCCTTTGCATCATGGAGCTGCCGCTGTTGGTGTGTGTCCAGTTTGGGGTCCCTGTGTGTTGGGCTGCTCGCTGTCCCACGGGGCTTACCCCGCTGCTCTGGGCCCGTTGCTTTCGCTCCTTCCCCGTCTCAGCGCGGGGCCTTCTGGGGTCTGGGGTCCAGTCCATTCATCTCTTATTCCTTGGCCCGTGGGGACCTGGCTCCACCACCCTTCCACGTGCCCTCTGAAGGCATTCTTCGTCCCTCTGCTGTTTATTCCGAACCTCTTCATTTGACTCTTCCTCGTGTTTCCTAAAATGCCCCTCTCCGTGTCCGGAGGGCCCCGCACGTCCAGGACCGGCCGCGGGGGCTCCGCCGTCACCCTGTGGCCTTTCCCTAGACCTCCGGGAGTCCTGTCCCTGGCGCCGCGGGGCAGCGACTCTCACCACAGCGCCTGCGCGGCCCCCCCTGGCACCACCCCCATTCCTTGACCGCCCACAGCGCGTGCGCGGTTCCTCTCCCAGTCCCAGGAGCCCGGGCGCATGCGCAGCGCGGGAGGGAGCTTTGGTCGGACTTCCGCCTCCGCTGTGTCCTCTCGGTCCCTGGATTTTGGGGGCGGCCTGGCCTTTCTCCGGCCGGGGGACGCCTACTTGGCCTGCGGTCTGGGTGCTCTACCGTTCTCGGCTTCTTCCCGAGCTTTCCACCGGGCTCTGCAGAGTCGAGGCCGCCGGGGCGCGGCTGGCAAATAACCTGACTGCGCGGAGGTCCAAGGCCGCTGACCACGCGCCGGAGCCTGAGTGTCCTGGTCTGAGCGCGCAAGCTTCCTGCGCCCTGTCCGCGCCCGAGCCCCTGGCCGCAGGCAGGGCCGAGTGCGCCCCGTAAGGCAACTGAGTGATGGGTTCTGCGCGAGCCCTGGTGTTAACTGGACCTTTGTGAAGCCGTGTGCGCTTGCGCCATGTCACCGCGCTCCTCCGGAGCCCTTATGGCCTGCGAAGCCCCGGGTGACCTGGGCCCCTCCATCCTTCAGCTCCCAGGCTCTCCTCACCCTGCTGCCGGAACCCCCACCTCACTTCTGGCCTCCAGTCCCGCGAGGCACCGAGTTACACAGCCTCTCCTGAGTCATAGTTTGTCGCTAGTTCTTAATGATTGCCCTTGGAAGAAACTTCACTCTGCTGAGTATCAACTTGAATGGTCCATAAAACCCTTGAAGCTTTAGGTTTAGAGTTGAACCATGAACATCGGTCACGCTCACCCACACTCACTGTGCCTGGGGCAGGTGAGACAGGCCAGGGCACCTACCAGGCACATTTTCGGCCCTGGGAGGAAATGAGAAAACCCACGCAGCCTGAGGGCACACACACTTCGCACAGGGGCCCCCGCCAGAATAGGAATTGATTTATTTTTCTTCTCATCAATGTTATAACAACATGAGGTTGGGCAGGACAATGTTATTTGAGGACCTACTGTGTCTATTGCCTGTGGATAAAGTGCCTTCAGTGTTGTGTAGTTTCTAAGTAAGTGTCTTAACAGTATGACACACAGAAGCAGGCCTTAAAGCAAGTCTTCGTCATTAACGCAGATGAAGGGCACGGCTCTGCATGTCAGACGTGTTCAGAGGGGGCTGAATTGGGACTATGTGTCTTCCTGTGCCATACAGACTTGGGAAGGAGTTGGTTTAGAGCTATGGACAACATGTTCTGGAATATACCCACCCTCTTTCTGGACATACGACAGGAAAAGGGGAGTCCCGGAAGACTCTTAGAAATTGTCGACACGTCCTGTGAAAATGGCTTCAGAGTTTTGATTTGTGTCCCTGGTCCCCGTTACCCTGATAAAGCTGTAATTCCACGTCTGTTTCTAATGGACGAGAAATACTGGCCCTGGCTCTCCCTGACCAGGGGCCCCGCAGCTCTGCTCTCCCAGGGCGTGGAAGGCCCCGCAGCAGGACTGTCCGCTTGGGCCTGTGTTTGTGACCCTGTAACTCCCTCTCCTGCGGCATAGCTCCGAGTCCCGAGACATTATGCTGACCTGGGTGAGCATTATGCACCCCTGGAGCTGTCTTCCTGGGAGGGAGGCCAACTAGTGTGCCCCTGAGGCCTCCGGAGCGCCCGGAGAGAGGCCATCAGTCTCAGAAGCCTCTCAGAGGGGCCGGCCCTGCGCGGCCCTCACCTGGGGCCGAACCTCCCTCATCCTGCAGCTCAGTGGGCAAGTGCATCTCAGAGAGCGAAGCTGGCCCCCATCAGTAAAGAGTCGTTTGCCCCTCCCACACGGTCACTCTGTCTTTCAACCTGGTCCAAACTCAGGTGGCTAAGAGAGGAGCTAACTGCAAACATGCCCTGCAGTCAGAAGCAGTGGGCAGTGTGAACCCCGCGACCTCCCCAAAGGGCACTTAGAAAACCCAGATCTGACCTCTGACCTTAACCGTGTGAGGGGCCGTGCTGGGGCCACTGAAGCTCTCTGTTTCTTACCTGGCAGAGAAGACCGCAGCCGCCCCAGGCTCGCAGGCAGCCCCCCAGGAGGAGCCCCTGGGAGCTCCTAGGTGCCTGCCAGGGTTGCAGGGCCGCCTGGCGAGTGAGGAACACCTGGGACCAAGCGCCCACAGGCTGACTTCCAGGGCAGGAGCCGTGTAGGTGCCTCGTGCAGAAGCCCCTGCACGCCTCCCGGAAGTCACACGTAATTCTGATACAGGATCTACACAAAGGAACGTGCTTCTGAGGGAAGTACAACCGCTGCCAGGCGTTTCTCTGAAACAAACCACATTTTCTTTATTGTCCAATAACCATCCACCAGGCGGTAGACAACAGAAGGCCCAGACGCTGGGTGTACAACACACAGAACCGGTGCCTCCGCTCAGAGTGAGCCCACGCGCGCCCCTTGTTGTCTAACTAAAACTGTCTCGTGGCCAGGAAATATTATGGTTTTACATCTTTAATTTGAAGGAGCCTTAGGGAGTCGATGGGAAGCTTCAGACTTCTGACCACGCTCCTCATCCCTGCATGCCAAACTCAGGGCGCATCCAGAACTCCCCACAGGCCCCTCTGGCCCTGGCCCAGCTGGAATGTGGGGGCTGCAGGGGACAAAGGTCAGGAAGCTCTGATCTGTGAAAAGAACTCCCAGCGAGGTGGGGGGGGGCGGGGAGGGGAGATTGGGGAGATCTTTAGCTCCCTCCCCCAAACCTGGGTCTCTAACCCTCTAAACTGCTATGGGCTCCAAAGACCCTCAGTGCCCCTACAGGGAGCTCATCCCAGGATGTCTGGCGCCACCACTCCCCCGCCCTGGGTGTGTGCTATACTCCTTCCTGTCACGTTCGTAAAAGTGGCGACCGAGAGTGGGAACCCAATAAAATGTGGCGGTGTGCATTGTGCAGGACACAGGCAGACAGCATGATGGAACCTCTAAACTGAACAGGTGGGAGAGCCTCGCCTGCAGCCCGGAAACTGTCCCGGTCACACCACCAGGTACACCATCTTCTTCTCGTTGATGTTCCTGGTCTTCAGCCCCAGGTAGCGGCTGCTGTGCCTCTCCGGCTTCCCGTAGAGCATGTCCACGAAGAGCTCCCGCTGCTCTTGGGCCTTGGGTTGGCAGCACAGGAAGCCAAACACTGTCCTGAGCTTGCCGCACAGGTAGGCGATGGCTTCCACTTCGCCGGAAGGTTCCTCATACACGGGCTGCCTCAGGGCCTTGTAGGCAGAGAGGATCACAGCCGTAAACAAGTGGATCAGTACGCAGACTAGCAGCAGCACAAACGCCGCGAGGAGCAGGACCCCGAGGGCCCTGTTGCTGGAAAACTCCGCGTCCCGGAGGGCTGCCGTGCAGTAGGAGAAGACGGTCTGCGTGGCGCGGATCACGGTGCTGTAGCCCCACTCATGCTGACCGAATACCAGGTGGCCAAAAGCCACGAACAGAAAGAAATACACGAACACCAGGAGCGCCACGTGGCAGATGCCGGGCAGGGCGGTCTGGAGGACCCGCTCAGCCAGGCGCACGTGGTAAAAGAACCTGAAATACCTGAGGGTCTTCAGAATGGTCAGGAACAGCAGGAGGCCCAACACGATCCCCAGGGCGCGGTCCACTTGCGCAACGGCGTGAAAGGGGATGAAATCCACGGGGTTCGATGAGTAGAACTGAATGATGGCAGTGGCCAGGAAGTATTTCCTGAGAAACAGCACAATCAGCACGGCAAGGGTGCACTTGAGTGCCAAGCTGAACAAGTTGTTTGCGTTGGCCAGGTAGGAGGCCCCCTTCTGCGTGATGACGTAGCCCTCGTACACGACGTAGGCCACGAAAAACGCGAGAATGGCCACGTACAGGTAGATCTCTGCCGACGTGTCTCTGTTCAGATCCACCAGCGAGAAGGAGTGCACGGATATGCTCGCGTTCACGGCCCCTAACTGAGAGACCTCGAACAGGACGGAAGTGCTGCCGAGCAGCCCCGCGTCCGCGTTCAGCGTGGTCAGCTCCAGGATCACAGCCCACGTCTTCTCGTCCAGCCAGCGGCCGCTCTGGAGGTCCCTGAGCCTCAGCGTGGAATTAAACTGCTGCTGGTCTGGGAAGAAATAGAAAACATACCCCCCCGACCCGTAGGTGTGGAGAAGTCCGTAGGAGTAGTACACCCACCTCTCCTCCGGAGGCTTATAGGTAAACCCGTTGGTGTTCTTGTCTGCCTCCCGCTTAGCAACTTTCTTCCAGAAGCCGGGGTGGTCGCTGGTGTCCTCTGGGTCGGCCCCGTACTCAGGATGGCAGCGAATCTCTCCTTCGATGCTGTTGGGCGGAAAGCGCTTGGCCGGCCGACAGGCCTTGGGGCCGGGCGCGGCCCTCACCTGCCTCAGCAGTGGGAGGCCGAGGATTTTGGAGGAGCTGTCGGGAAGAAACGTTGGGTGGAGGTCGTTGTGGAACAAAGGCAGCAGCGCGCTGTGGAGCCACGGGTAGATGTCGTCCAGCTTGGTGACCGTAGCAAGATCCACAGAGAAGCGGCTGCGGATGAACTGGTTGTAGCGGAAGCTGTCCGTGCGGCGGAGGACGGCGACGAGGCCCAGCAGCAGGGCTAGAAAGATGCAGTGAGTGAGGAAGTGACCCAGGAACAGCAGGGCTCGCCTCTTGAGCGCCCTCTTCCTTCTGAATATCCCGACTTCGTCTTGCGTGAGAGGCTGGTACATGCTGCTGCCTCGGAGGCGGGCGACGTCCTGGTGCCGCTGGTGCATCTCCTCGGGACGCAGCCTGAGGTCCTGCAGCTGGATCTCAGTGTAGCGATAGTTGCTGACCCAGGAGAGGTTTTTGCAGTACTTGGGCCTGCTGGTTCGCATGCCTGTCAAGAGGATAATTTTCGAAGGCTGCACCAGGAAAACGGACTCGCAGAAGGAACAGAGCGATGCAAAGAGCCACTCAATTGACTTCTCATAGCCGTAGGTCAGGCCGTAAAACACAATGAAGAACGAGGACACCCCCGAAGTGGCGAAGACCAAGAACCACGCGACCCACTTCCACCACCCAGGCAGGGTGGTCCTGGGCTTTGTGGGTGGGGGCCAGGGTGCAGGTGGATCCTGTGGTTCTTGGTCTTGGGGCGGGGGTGGCGGCTGTGCGGAGGGCACCTGGGGACTGTTGTTCATGTTTTCGTTGTTGGCGTTGGCGTTGGTGTTGGTGCCGGGGGTGTGTGGGCCCTTGCTGTCTTTTTTCCTAAGCGAGTGCCCTGCTTTGGAGGTCCTCTTGGAAAGAGACTTACGGCGTCCTGTGAGCTTCCTGGTGAGGGACTGCTGGGCCTTGCGGGCGCTCGCCTTCTGGGAGCGTGACTCCTGGGCACGTGGCTCTTGGGAGCGTGCCCTCTGGGAGCGTGCCCTCTGGGAGCGCGCCCTCTGGGAACGCACCTTCTGGGAGCGCATCTTCTGGGAGTGCTCCTTCTGGGACCGCGCCTCTTGGGAGCGCGCCTCTGCAGCCGTCTCCTGGGCGTGCCACCTCTCCAGCCGCTCCTCCCAGTGGCCGCTCGCCTCTGCCACCTCGGGGTACTCCTGAGGCGTCACCTTGTCCAGGGCCACCTGCGGTCTCCGCTGGGAGTAGGTGAACAGCCCCGTGATTATGACCTGCACCGGGAGGGTGATCATGGCGCTCTCCAAGCCGATGACCATCGATCTGACATATCGGTTCCCTTGGTCTTGTTTGTCTTGCTTCTCCGTGTGCAGGTTGAAGAACATGATGTTGCACAGGAGGCTGGACAGCAGCATGGCCAGGCAGCAGGACAGCCGCTGCAGCCGACTGAAGCCGTGGGCAATGACGCCGGCAAACACGGAGAACCACAGGTGACTCTTCGCCAGGTTGTCCGTCGCATCGATGAGCAAGAAGTCCATTCTCTGCAGTGGCGTATTGGGGTCGGTGACGGGAAACGTTCTGTCCAAAGAGGTCTCGATAGAAAGCCACTCGCGACACATGAACAGCCAGATGTGCCTGCTGAAAAGGTTCTCCACTTTGATTCGACTTAAGTACCAGCCGGGGGCATGGCCCTCGTTGTTGTGCCACACGCGGATGGACTGAATGTCCCCCAAGTCCCTGCTGGTCGTTAGGAGGAAAGTGTGGACGCTTCCCTGGTACAGAGTTTTAAAATGTGGGTGACTTAAACAATGCACATCGCTGGTGCTCTGTGTCCCCGTAAGTTGGACAAAAACATTGGCCCTGGTGCCGGACCCACAACGGCTTCCTGTGAAAAAAGTGACGAGGTAACATATGTTATCGTAAGGGTCGTTATCAGGGAGGACTATGGCGTGGTCCCGAAGGTACTGGTCTGTTTCATCTCTGTGCAAGGCCCAGAAAGCTAGGACGATGTACGTGACCAGAATGAAAAGGACGACGAAGAGTGTCACGGGGTTCTGGGTGACATTCTTGATGGCCTCTAACCGTAGATCCACAGGGTTAGGGGGCACGATCACCTTGGCTGTCAGGTAGCGGAAGTGCAAGGGAATGTTGGCCAGCTGCCGCCGGGCCCGCCTGGCCTTCCTGCAGACACAGTGCACTCGGTCCCAGCTGGTCTTCTCCCCGAGGACACAGGTGTCTTCTGTCCAGTCGCTCTGGACCCCGTACATGTCCAGGCAGCGGACACTGAAAAGAGAAATCCTCACCAGCTTGTCACTGGGCTGCATGACAAAATGAGGTGCCTTCAGAACCACGATTATGACACTCTCAGGCGAGCGGCCCCGCTGAGCTATGACCTGTAGCAGGGACAGCGGGAGGCAAACCAGGCGGGGCACGCTCACTGCACAGGCCGGGTCGAACAGGCCGCTCTGGTTGGCAATGGGAGGGATACCGTGGGGCACGAGGAAGGTGGCGACCAAGGCGGAGGGGGTGATCTGCCCGCCGGCGTACACCAGCACGGTGAACTGCACTGTCACCTCCGTCACGATGTGAACCAGCAGCTCCCGCACCACATGGCTGTCCACTTCGAAGCGGAACGCCCCCGTCGTCATCCTCGAGGACTCGTCGGCGTTATCAGGCTCGTGGTCGGGGCCCACGGTGAGGTTGAAAGCTGCAGCGCTCAGGTTCCTCCTGCCGACATACACGTCCACTGCGTCGGGGGTGACCTCCAGCTTGTCACCGTTGGCCGCGACTCCCGTCAATCTGAATCCAACCACATCTGCTGCAAGGCTGTCCTGGTAATTTAACCAAGGGAAGGGGTCGTCTGCAAACTCACAGAACACCACAGAAACAGGAGCGTTGGCAGGCAGACGAGGAATGCTGCTCACATTTAGTGTTGGTTGGAAACAATTTCGACAGTTTCTCTCGTTGCCCAACCTGTGGTTGGAAACAGCCCACTTTTCCAGCTTGCTGGCGTACATGGTAAAGCTGGCGGAGCTCATCACGGTGCTCCCATCATCCGGCACTTTGCCGGCCAGGATGGTGTCTGCCAGGGACTGTATGACCCGGAAAGGGTCGACAAAAATTACGTGAGGGTCGGCCATTTTTAGGATGTTCGACAGGCTGGTCAGGATCCCGGTGCTGATGATCTCTATCTGCTCCGAGTGCAGGCTGTGGCCTTTGTGCTGATGCTGCTGGATGGCTCGATTCGCTTGCCACATCCTCTCTGTGGCAGACGGCCGAGCAACCAGAGGAAATTCCAACGTTCTCTGGGTTAATTTGGCAAACACCGTGACCACCTGGTTAATCTCCATCAGGGTGTTCATGGGGAGGAGGGCAGACTGGTTGACCAGGTGTTCCCGGAGCCAGGCTTTGTCCGCCTGCAGGGCTGGTTCGGGTCTCATGCTGTTCAGAACGGAGGCCACTACGTACATTAAGTAACCCGCGAACAAAAACTCCTGCTTCTGAAGCGAAGCAGAGATCTCTGAATTCTGTCCCACGGTGAAATTGACTAACTGCTTCAGTATGGCCTGGGGTGAGGCTTGGCCCGTAGGAGCTTGTACAGTGGCGTAAAAAGTCACCTGAGAAAAAGCTGCCAGAGAGTCATACACCTGGACAAAGACCTTCAAGGAGTAATGACTGTCCCCCTCACCGACGGGGAGAAAGGAAGGGGGGCATTTGGGATCGTTGCCCACATACAGGATGGGCCCCAAGGTGTTCTCTGTTAAAGAACTGATTTCGCCAAAGCCATCGTACAAATCAGACACGATCATTTTATATGTCAGAGGGATGTTCTGATCCTTAAAATTATTACACTGGACAACAAACTTAGTAAAAAAGGCAATCCCACTAGTTGGATTAATTTTGCAATCTCCAATTGCAGGGGCATAGTTAACAGTAAAGGAATGAATGAGGTTCAAGTTCACTCCACCCCAAGTTTCTAGACCTAAAGTAATCCAGAACTGAGCTTCAGAAAAATTCCTAAAAGCAAAAGCTTTTATAGACAAAGAATCGCTGTTCCTCCCCGTTGAAGTCTGCCCCAACCAATCAAATGCGACCTCAACCCCTGAAGCCCGCAGGATGGACCACTTGTACACTTGCCGGCTTCTGGCACAATCGGGGCAATTTAGAGACAGAGAGAACCGATCTGATAGAACCAAAACCCTGCCACAGTTTTCAATACACGAAATACTTGCTTTCGGTGCCCGTGCTGGGAGCACGTGGACCCTTTTATCAGCATATGCGGATCTGGGAGCCTTCTGTATCACCATTCTGAAAAAATACACGCGGCGCCCCCTAAGTGTTTCTGGGGAAATTGTCAGTACAGGGTCAGAGGCCCAGGTCAGCTTGAGATCCACCTGCTTTGGGAGGCAAACTTCCTTGCTTATCACGTTTATTTTGTCTCCGTTGTAGTTCTTGGAATTTGTGGTGCAGAACCAGGAGAACTGGACTCCCTCTAAAGGGTCGTCTACATCTGGGTCCACGGACGTTGATCCATTCAGAACCAGCTGGTCTGTGAACTTAATTGTCATGTTGGCCTCCCCAAGAAGAACCGCCTGCAGGAAGTCACTAAGGATCGAGACGTAGATGCTATCTGAGCCTTTGTCCACTGCAGCTTGTGGCAAGGAGGGGGCCAGGATCACTGAGAAATTAAACACGTACACCCCCAAAGATAACGTTTTCTTGGGGATGTGCATGACTGTTGGATCTTTCCCCAACTGGAAGCCGGGCACCACCAGAGGTTTCGTCCAGTCCGGCTGGTGGCGGAGAGAGGGCACAGAGAAGACCTGCCAGTTAGTCTGAGAGCTGTGAGCCACCGGGCAGTCGTACTGAAAGGTGGCATTTAGGGAGATGTCCATCCTCCTGGTCAGCAGCACCGCGGGCAGGCCCGGGTTCCTGTTGATCTGCACCTTCGTGATGCTGCAAGTCACCTGTCTCGAGAACCGGCAGGATGAGACGGACTCCCCGGCTGGCCAACTGCCCGAGGTGACATCTGTCGGACACTTGGTTTGGGTCTCGAAGCCCGCGTCGGGGTGAAGGCCCCTGGAGGCTGAGGAGGCGTCCGTGGGGCTGACCAGCCCGAGGTGCAAGGTCCGTCCCCGAGGCCGGAGCAAGC